CGGCGCCCTGGGGGGTCGGCGCCCTGTCTGCCTGCGGGGGTCGGCACCCTGGGGGGTCAGCACCCTGTCTGCCTGCAGGGGTCGGCACTCTGTCTGCCTGCAAGGGTCAGCGCCCTGGGGGGTCAGCACCCTGTCTGCCTGCAGGGGTCGGCACTCTGTCTGCCTGCAGGGGTCGGCACTCTGTCTGCCTGCAAGGGTCAGCGCCCTGGGGGGGGGGGGTGCAGCATGCCTGGGGCCCTGTATCCCACCCCGTGCCCTGAAAGACTAGGACAGGACCAGGGCCGCTTAAATATCCTCATCTGCCGCCATCTCCAGTCCTGAGAAGGAATGATGAGGTCTGTGTCACCCCCTAACGTATCTCTCCCTTCAGGCAGCTGTGCCGACCCCTCCACACTGGTTGTTAGAGCGGCTTGGTCTTTTTGAGGAGCTATGGGCTGCTCAGGTAAAGAGGTCAGCAAGCAAGGCACAGGAGGAACAGCGGACTATTAAAGTGTCTCTTCCTGGAGGCCAGAAGGTGGATGCTGTGGCATGGAACACGACCCCTTACCAACTAGCCGGGCAGATCAGGTACCAGGCTCGACCTGCACCTCCTAGGATCATCCTCCTGCCTATGCTTCCTTTGGACCTGAGCGGGGAAAGAAAACGCGGCTGCTTGTTTCTGTTCCGTCCCCATCAAGACAGCCTTTCTTGTCGATTCGTTTTATCTGCCTTGGTGGCAGAGTGGGCTCAGTCTCTGTCGTCCACTGGGGAAAGAAGTGATAGGTTCTGTTGCTGCAGGATTGCACGTATGGAATTACTGGGAGGTTAGTCCCTCTCTACCCCTGTGGGTTATAACTGTCTTTTTCTTCACCCCTACTCCCCATCCCCGAAGTTCAGCACTGGCAGATACTGCAGTGGTAGCTGAAGTGAACGGAGAACCTTACGATCTGGATCGACCCTTGGAGACAGATTCCAGCATCAGATTTCTGACATTTGATTCCCCAGAGGGGAAGGCGGTAAGTTCTTCCTTGTCAGGAATACAGTGGCTGCTGAACTCTAAGATATGCAAGCAGGGACTTCTAGCATTTGTTTTCTTTGCCTCAGTTTCTCCATTTACAGTTGAGAGGGAGACCTACTACAGACTGCTTGTCTTTTTTTTTTTTTAAATGATTTCTTGTGTTTAAGGTGAAAGTTCCCACAGCACGTTAGGTTCCCTACACAGACCACTCAGTGATCGGTGACACTTTTCACACTGTGCTGTCCTCGTTCACTCCATTCTGTCTGTCCCGTTTCCACCATTCTAATCTCCCTGCTCCCAACTCTCATCTTTGCCGTAACCTTTGACCATTTGTTCTCATATAGTCAATTTTTTAAAAAGAGCTCATTTACTCATAGGTGATATTCTTTATTTTATGAGCCAATCTGTTCCTTAGCTAAAAGGGGACCTTGAGGGATCATTTTGGTTTAAGGTTTAAAGAATTTCTCAGGGCAGTTGTGTCTGGGAGTCCTCTAGTCTCCACTGGTCCAGTCAGTTTCTACTTCTTAAGAATCTGGGTCCTGTTCCGTGTTTTTCTCCTGTTCTGCAAGAATCCGTTTATTGTGCCCTGGTTAGAACAGTCACTGGGCACCATCTAGTTCTGGTCTCGGGGTAGTTGAGGCTGTGGTTTGTGTAGACTGTTAGTCCTGTAGACTACTTTCTCTTCTGCATCTTTGGTTTTCTTCTTTCTCTTTTATTCTGGACAGGTAGAGACCAGTAGACTGTGCTTGCGTTAACTATTCCTGCCTAAGCTGGAAACCCGTGATGAAAATTTTTACACAGACACCCTGGATCTGTTAAGCAGACGTCATTTGTGCTAGCGAAAGGGAGAGGGAATAAGTTAAAAACAGAGGGTAGTCCGCCCGCTCAGCCCGTCACCTCTTGAGCACACGTTGTCAGTCATCCAGAGTGTGTATCTAATCCTAACATGGCTGCCACAGCTGAGCACACAGCCTGTCCGCCTCCCCACTTTGTCCGCTTCATGGCGGCCCATGGAGATCTCTTGTCGTCTGTGTGTAGATGGTGACCTGACCCATCCAGGTAGGTGTGTCTCATCACACTAGAGTCCTGGGATAGGAAAAAAGGCCTAAAAGACCAAGCAGAGCCCTAGGGAGCTGTTGTCATAGGAAGGCAGTTCACTCTGAAGCCCCAGAAGGAGTGTCACAGGAGCAGCAAGGGAACACTGACTGACTGGCCTCCTGCCACCACGCTCCAGGGTGCTGGCTTTCTCCTTTCTTTTCTGAGTCAGTTCTTCACTTTTTAGCGGCCGTCCCCAGGGTCTAGGTTCTTCGTTTTGTGTCAGTTATCCCTAGAAGAGCCGTGCTGATTTTCCCACCAGCTTCCCTGAGGAGAGAATCCGAGCTCAGGGAAAGAGGGAAGGTTCTGAAGCCATGAATGCCTTTCTTTTGAGCCCAGGTGTTCTGGCACTCCAGCGCTCATGTCCTGGGGGCCGCAGCTGAACAACTCCTAGGCGCTGTCCTCTGTCGAGGTCCAAGTACAGAGTGTGGTTTCTACCATGATTTCTTCCTGGGAAAGGAGCGGTGAGTGGTGCAGGGAAGGAGGGGCGTGGGCCGAGGGCTTCAAGCACATTTGGTGGGATGGCTGAGGCATTGCATAGCACCCTTGCCACAGCTGAGTGTGACTGGGTTTGACGTAGTCTCCAAGCTTGGGAAGAGGTGCCCTTTACACCCCGGCCCCGTCACTTTCCTGTAAGATGCGTGTTGGGTGCGTATATGGTTCTTGGCACATAATGGATACTCAGTGTCTGTCATTGTCTGATCATTGTTGTTACAGTTTCTCTCCAGGCCTTCATGAATTCTTCAGATTTTACTTCGTCTCCTCGTTACCGTCGCTCTTATTTTGTCCAGCCGTATTACCTGTGCTCAACTTTTAATTTCATACATAGAACTTTTCTCTAGCTGTAAATTCTACCTGATTTTCTATTTCTGTTTTCTCTGAGTCTCTTTTATATCAGTAATTCCAGATGTTTCTGGAGGGCAGGACTTCAGCTCCCACTCCTACCCCCTAAGCCACAGATCTGTCACCCAGGTGATGCTTCTCAGATGATGCCAGCCAACCAAGTCCCCTCTCTCCAGGACTGTACAGGGCTCAGAGCTGCCGGTTCTGGAGCGGATTTGCCGGGAACTTGCAGCTGCTGCTCAGCCCTTCCGGCGGCTAGAGGCTTCCCGGGGTCAGCTTCGCCAGCTCTTCAAGGTAGCGTGGAGATGCACAGTGTTAGAAGAAAGACTCAGAAGCGTGAGGGAAGGGATGGCTCTCTCCAAGGACATCTTGGCAGGAATGAAGACTTGTCTTCACTCTTCCCTTCTGCCTTCTTCTAGGATAACCCCTTTAAGCTTCGTCTGATTGAGGAGAAAGTGACAGGTCCCACAGCAACAGTTTATGGGTGAGAGTTGTCAAGATGGGGCCAGGGAGAGGGGGAAAACAGCAGAGGCCACAGACGGGATAAGGGAGAGAAGAGAGATGGCAATCTCTATTTCTCCTAAGAGAAACAAGGGAACAGGAATTACTTCTCATCTCTCATTGCTCCGTGTGTAGAACAGTTCCTCTTCACCCCCTCTTTCTGTCAGCAGAAGGCCGTGAGAGGGAGAACATTAGAAGCTCAAGAATTTAGAAACCACTCAATGGCCCCATTTTTCTCCCAGGTGTGGTACATCGGTTGATCTCTGCCGGGGCCCCCACCTTCGGCACACTGGACAGATTGGAGGCCTGAAGCTGCTGACGGTCAGTTGGGAAGGCAGGGTTGGGTTGAGACTCCTGTTTTCACTGGCGTGAACAAAGGAATGGAGAGGTGGTCCTGTCTCAGTCCCTCCTTTGCTCTGATAGCTAAGGGGGGAATTCCACAAGGAAAAAGAAACTCAGTCCTGCCTTCTAGGAATTCCCAGTCTGATAGCAAATACTGGACACCCTGCCAGGACCCAGAAGCTAATTCAGATTCTGCAGTTGGACATCAATGCTAAGAGATAGAGAGGGAGGGCATGAGCAGGCTTGACAGGGCCGTCTGGGGGGACTCCTGGGAGAGGGGTCGTGGTCCGGCAGGCTGATTGACAGCACTGGACAGGCACAGTGAGAATACCCTAAGTCGCAGGCATGCTTGTTATGCAAATATTGTTTCTGGAAGTGTAAGTGATTAGATGGTGTGGGAGCAGGGCGTGGGGGCAGGGGCAGAAGTGCACAAAGCCCTGAACTGAGAACCCTGTCTGCACTTGGTCCTGGCTCCGCCACAGCTGAGGGATGTGGCCTTGGGTGAATCTCCTTACCTGTTTTTCCTATCTATAAAACAAGGCTGTTCGTGTCTGTCCCACCAGTAAATCATGTCACAGAGACAGTGAAGACCAGCTAATGCAGGAGAAAGCGTCTGAGGAGAAGTTAGAAGTGTGATAAAATGTAGGCTGCTTCTCGTTGTCACTGCTATTCCAGGAGCCCGAAAGAACAAGCAGAGGCGTGTGCGTTTCTGCGTCTGGGAGATGGTGTTTTCTAGCAGCTGTGCAGGCGGCTGCTGACAGGCTGGGTGGGCAGACTCTGACCAGAGCTGAGCCTTTCTCTCTGAGCTGCTGTTAGTTAGGAGGGGAGGGAACATTGCGTGCAGGGTTCCTGGCAGCAGGAGTGAGAATGGGGACAGAGAGAAGCGGCAGGGTAGGGTTAGGCTGGACCAGGACAGGACGAACAGGCGATTCGAAGGCTGTTAACATGGCAGGGAGTCTAGAGGAGAGAGACATCCGCCCTGCTGGTGGAGACGGTGGGAGAAGCAGTGGAGAGAGGTGAGCGGGGCCTGTGATGCTCACACTGAGAGTACCGTGTGATGCTTGAAAGGGGCTGGGGTGACCAGTCCTCGCTGTCTTCCCCGTGATTCTCTGTCCCCCCACAGAACTCCTCTTCTCTGTGGAGGTCGTCAGGGGCCCCGGAGACACTGCAGCGTGTGTCAGGGATTTCCTTCCCCTCGGCCGAGGGACTGTGGGCCTGGGCAGCATGGAGGGAAGAGGCAGAGTTGCGGGACCACCGGCGCATCGGGAAGGTACGGAGACTGGGAAAATCGGGAGGTCTGATGACAAGGGCTGGAGAGAGACGCAGTGGGCTGGCTGTGATGGCGGGCGCAGGTTCGGAATGGCACAGACAGACCAGCTGTCAGTTGTTTTCTCCGGCTTCCAGAGCACCCCTCCCCTCCTGAACTGACTGTTGCCGTTCCTGAACCAGGAGCAGGAGCTCTTCTTCTTCCACGAGCTGAGCCCCGGGAGCTGCTTCTTCCTGCCTCGAGGGACGAGGGTGTACCACGCACTGATGGCTTTTATCAGGGTGAGGGGCCAGGTCCTGGGGAAGGAAGACCGGGGCAGGGCTGGGGCCCTAGAAGAAGCCAGGGTGTTAGAGTCAGTCGGGGAGATTGGAAGCATGTGTATAAACATAAAGTGCTGGCGACTTTTATCAAGGTACTAGAATGTGCCATCTTCAGCGGAGGACACAGAGAGGGATCCCATGGCCAAGGGCCCCAGGAGAACCAGATGGTGCCACCCGGCCTCCTCTCCCCCGGTCATCTGACCTTCCACATCTGTACCCTTGTCTCCAGGCTGAGTACACCCGCCGTGGTTTCTCAGAAGTCAAAACCCCAATGCTGTTTTCTACGAAGCTCTGGGAACAGTCAGGACACTGGGAGCATTATAGGGAGGACATGTTTGCCCTGCAGCCCCCCGGCCCTGACAGACCTGCCAGCTCCCCGAGTGACCACCCCACACTTGCCCTCAAGCCCATGAACTGCCCTGCACACTGGTGAGCTGGGAGCTGGGAGGCCCGGTTCCTCCCAGGGGGAGCACAAGGTAGCTGAGTGCCTAAATGTTAAGTAACAGAAAGAGCCTGGGATTTGGATTTGCTCTCTAAGGTTCCTCTTTCAGCTCAGTACCTGTCCCAGAACAAGGGCACAGTAGATTAACGGCTGTTGTTGGAGCCCTGGTGGTGCAGTGGTTAAGAGCTCGGCTGCTGACCAAAAGGTCAGCAGTTGGAATCTACCAGCTGCTCCTTAGAAACCCTATGGGCCAGTTCTGCTCTGTCCTGTAGGGTCACTGTGAGTCGGCAGCGAGGTTTTTACAGGTTGTTATTGCTGGGAATTCACTTGTGAAGCAGGCAGGGCGCCGGCTGCGGTGGGTGGCATCGGGAGGACCGGCGACAGGTTCTGCCAGAGCCAGGGAGGGCGTTACCTGGCAGCACAGATGAGGCATCTCCGGAGGCCGGGCCCTGACCCTTCCCCTCTCTTCCCTCAGCCTGATGTTCGCCCACCGGCCCAGATCGTGGCGGGAGCTGCCCTTGCGGCTGGCGGACTTCGGGGCCCTGCACCGTGCCGAGGCCTCTGGTGGTCTGGGGGGACTGACTCGGCTGCGATGCTTCCAGCAGGATGACGCCCACATCTTCTGCGCCCCGGATCAGGTGGCCCTCCCCACCTCCACCAAAGCACTTTATTTACTTATTTATTTTGATCTTTCGTTGTTGCTGTTATTGAAAACATACACCAATTTAGTAATTTCTCCATGTACAGCTCAGTGGCATCAGTTACATTCTTCAAGGTGTCTAACCATTCTCATTCTCCTTTTGCAAATTATTTCACTGTCAATGAACGTAAAAGCTTCCTGTCTAACCTTTCCAGCTGCTGTTGTCGGTTTGATCCCGTGTAGATAGTTCTTTAAAAGAACACAGTGCTCGTGGCAGACATTCTTTACTAAGCTAAACTACTGTTTGGTTTAAAGAAGACTTAGGGGATATTTTTCCCGCCAAAGCATATTATAAGTGCCTTCCATTCTCCCTGTAAGCTTCCAGCATCCCTGACCTTCAGTTGCCCTCTTTACACACTACAACTCAGCTACATTCTACCCCAGCTTTTCTCTGCTGCCTGTCTGTGCTTCTGCCCTGTTTCCCCCAGACTACCATCACGCCTGTCTCTCGCTGACACACAGCTCCCCCTTGTTTCCTGCCTGCAGCTGGAAGCAGAGATCCGAGGCTGCCTCGATTTCCTCCGCTCTGTCTATTCCGTCCTCGGCTTCTCCTTCCGCCTGGCACTGTCCACCCGGCCGCCTGGCTTCCTAGGGGAATCTCGCCTTTGGGACCAGGCTGAGCACGTGAGTAGGGGGTTGGGCAGCAGAGCAGATGAACTGCTCTCCAGTGGAAGTAGGGGAGACAGGAACCAGAATCCTCAGACAGAGGTGTGTTCTCAGGGGTCATTTGTTGGGACTGGAGGGATATGTTGCCCCTAAAGTCTAAGATAATGTGTTCCTCTCCTATCTCATTCCTTTTATAGGTCCTTCAACAGGCCCTGAAAGCATTTGGAGAACCCTGGGACCTCAGGCCTGGAGATGGTGCCTTCTATGGGCCTAAGGTAAGCTGGGGACTCCGGTTGAAATCTTATTGTGTTAAATATCAAGTAGGTAGAGAAGGATATTTCTTAACTCGTGTAGGTGATAAAGAAGAGTAGTACGGATGGCGCCCCCACGGCCCCTGCAGTCTAGAGGGCTGTGGGGAAGTGACATAAACCCTGTTGGCGTGGTGGGGTTAGTGCTGTGTGGGTGCAAAGGGAGCGCCATGCCAAGGCGTCAGGGAGGAATTCCTGCAGGAATCGCTTTCCAGTCTGAAAGCTGAGTGATCATTGGCCAACAGCATTCCAACTCAATGTGGGAAGTTGGAAGAAGAGGAAAAATTCAAGGGAAAAAAAGAACTGAAAAGTGTCTTCTGGATTTAGTGGAAAGGTGTTAGGTTGGGAAGGACCATTTTTGGTGAAGTGGGGGTGAGGGTGGGGGGTGTGGAACCAGACGGAAATCAGTGAATGAACATAACTCAAAAGTTTTGGCTGTGGGGTCTTCAGAAGAACTAGATGGTGCCGGCTACCACCAATGACCGCCCTGACAGGGAACACAACAGAGAGTGCCTGATGGAGCAGGAGAAAGGTGGGGTGCAGAACTCAAATTCTAGTAAGAAGACCAGACCTAATGGTCTGATTGAGACTGGAGGGACCCCAGAAAGCATGGCCCCTGGACTCTCTGTTAACCCAGAGCTAAAACCATTCCCGAGGCCAACTCTTCAGACAAAGATTGGACTGGACTGTGGGATATAAAATGATACCCGTGAAGAGTGTGCTTCTTAACTCAAGTAGATACAAGAGACTAAATGGGCAGCTTCTGTCCAGAGGTGAGATGACAAGACAGACAGGGTCAGGAGCTAGTTGAATGGACATGGGCAATCAGAGGTAGAAAGGAAGAATGTGCTGTCACAGTACAGGGAGAGCAGTTAGGGTCACATAACAATGTATGTATAAATTTTTGTATGAGAGACTAACTCGAATTGTAAACTTCCACTTAAAGTATACCAATAAGACAAAAAATGTTGGGTACGGGATCTTAAAAGCTTGCAGGTGGCTATCTAAGTTATAGCAGGTATTCACCTGGAGCACAGAGGAAGAAATAGTAAGGAATAGGAGGAGGATATGGAATGTGTGACTAATTGTCTCCATGAACATCTGTCTCCCTTGTCACGAGACCAGAAGAACTGGATGGTGCCTGGCTACCATTGCTTAATGTCTTGATCAAAGATTGCATAGAAGAATCCTGATCAAAAAGGGGAAAATGCAAAATGGAATTTCAGATTCTCATGGAATCCACCATTTCCGGAGGCTTTGAGGCTGGATGAACCTCCAAAATGATTGCCCTGAGATCATCTTTAAACCTTAAACCAAGAATATCCCCTGAAGTCTTCTTTAAACCAAAAAATAGTTTAGCTTAATTAGTAAAGAATGTCTGCCTTGAGCATTGCGCTGTTTTAAAGTACTATCTATATGGGATCAAACTGAAAACAGCAACTTGAAAGATCAGATAGGAACCTTAGAGGACAGTGAGTTTATGTTAATGGGGAAGAACAACTCAGAAAAGGAGGGTGAGAATGGTTGCACAACTTGGAAGAATGTAATCAGTGTCACTGAACTGTACATGCAGAAATTGTTGAATTGGGGTACATTCTGCTGCGTGTATTCTCAACAACAAAAAATAAATTATTTTTTAAAAAAGGTTTTGGCTGTGATAAAGGCAAAGGAAAACAGCAGAAGGAGCCTGGGTCGTCAGAAGAGAAGTTTTTATGTAGAGAGAGTTAAATGCTGTGAAGGGAGGGAATCCGTTTGGGTGGAGGAGAAGTTGAAGTTGTAGAAGAAGGGATTTACCGTTGAGGGAAGTTCCAGGCGAAGCTGGAAGGGTGGGAGCAAGAGCCCTCCGCAGAAGGGACCACCTTTGCCATTGTATCGGGGGCAGGAGAAAAGGCTGGGGGTGGGTGCAAGGAAGTTTATAAGTGTGGTGACAGGAAGTCAAGGCGTTTTCACATCTCATAATATCAATAATCTGAATTCTCTGTGAGACAGGAGGATCGTTTCCTGAGAGGGTGGTGGAGGAGAGGAGAGTGGTCAGTGAGGAGCTCGAAGACGTAAAGAGAGAGGAGAAACTTGTAATCCCCGAGGAGAGCTGGTCAAGGGCTGATGGGGGCAGTCAGG